AGGCAGGCTTGGAGCAGAAGAAAAACAGGTCTCTGCTTGTGGGACGAACCTCCTCCCTCCCCCTCCCTTGACTGAGACCTTCATATCCAAAAACCATTGAGCAGAAGTACAACAGCTCCAGTCTCTGAAGGCTGCCAAGCATTCTTGCTGAGTGAAGCTGTTTAGGTACACTGAAACACTGCCGAACCTGGGGCTTGCGTAAACCTTTCTTACCCTGGAACAAAAGACCTGCTCCCATGGCAGTCAGGTGCACACACGAATCCCTGCCTGTGAAAACACGCTGAACCGGTCTCTGTGCAAAAAAAAGACAGGTTTGACCAGAACATCCCCTTGTACAGAAAGGATCTGCCAGGCAGGCCCGAGCATCAAAGGAAGACGAGTGCTCCACAGCCTCCGATTAGCATCGCATGAGCAGAGCCCAGAGTTTGCAGCACTAAAGGCCACAACCAGCATCCAGCAAGACACTTTGTTTGCATATGAGTTTGCTCATCCATCTCCTTCACTGGGGTAGCTGCAGAGAGCTGCAGCGTGCAGAGCAGCATGTAAACCTCCATCCCCAAAGTCTCCCAGCCCTTCAGCATCCCTGCTGATGCATGTTTGTGTGAAGAACCAAACGTCACAGCCGTGCAAGGTGCAAGCTTCAGCTGCATACACAAACAACGCTCAGGCACCACCTACAGAAGTGGTTGCTTGGTATCCTAGTGCTCATATGGGTTTGGGTTTGGTTTCTTTTCCATTTCACCTGTTTCTCTTTCACTTCCTTCCTGCCTCGCAGGAAGTGATGGCAATAGATACACTCTGTCACCATCCTCACGGCTTGTGGACCTCTGCTCCTTTGGCTTTCACTTCTCTATGAAGCTATATTAAAATGATCATTTAATATCAGTGCTCACTCTTCCTGTAGCACCAAAACATGTACCCCGTGCCGGGCTAACACAGAAAGACTTCTGTGGACCATGTCACCGTGTATTGCCTTCTTCCATCCATGCCTCGAGAAATAATCATTCCCTTTTATTTCCCAAGCAGTCACCAGGGGTGAGCCCTGGCAAAGCTGCACCCCCCTGGGCACAGGCTGCAGTGCAAAGCTATCCTTACCCTCCCAGCATGAGCGTGCAGATGAGACTGGACAGCACCGGGACGTCAGACAGGAAGCAGAGGAGGAAACACCATTGCTCAGCCAGAAATAGGACTTGGCACTGGTGATACACAGCCCCACACTGTACTGTTTCTTTAGATTTATCTTCTACAGATTTATCCACAGCCTTTTCTCCCTCTCCCCAACCTGACCCACACATCCTGAGTGAGGTCCCATGATTTGCCATCCGCACAGCCACTGGCTGTGCCCTGGCTCTTATCGCCTCCGGTACCATTTGCCCTCTGACACTTCTCCAAGCCCTCCTCTTTCACCCAGACATCTGTATTCCTGTTTTCTTCCAAGTAGCTGGGGGTTAAGGTGCAAGCAAACATTTTTCTCAACCCAGCACTTGTTGCATCCTAGCCAGCCTCGCACGTGAAGGGGTCCATGAGGCTCCTCCCTTCATGAGTGTTTCCTCCTCCCGCCATGCACCTGGACAGCAGATTTTGAAGATAATCATGGAATCATAGAACAGGGTTATAGAATCAACTTGGTTGGAAAACAACTTTAAGCTCATCCAGTTCAACCATTACCCCAGCACTGCCAAGGCCACCACTAACCCATGGCACTGATGGCCTCGTCTACGCTTGTGAACACTGGTCACACTGGTGACTTCAGCCCTGCCCTGGGCACCCTGTTCCAATGCCTGGGCACCCTTTGGGGAAGGAATTGTTTCTACTATCCAATCTAAACTTCCCCTGGTGCAACCTCAGGTTGTTTCCTCTTGTCCCATTACTTGTTCCTTGGCAGCAGAGACCAGCCACCTCCTGGCTCCATCCCCTTTCAGGTAGCTGTAGAGAGCGATAAGGTCCCTCCTGAGCCTTCTCTTCTCCAGATTAAACAGGGGATTAAGAGTCTGTCCCCACAGCCATTGCCCTGAAGCTAAAGCCTCACCTCTATAACACATGCAACCCCTAAACGCTTCCAAATCACATGCAGCACCATGAAAAATCCCTTTGCATTTAGGACAGGTGCAGGTCTACAAAGTTCTTCCATGTGTAACAAAACATTGCTAGTAATTAGGATAATAATAGCGAGTGCGAGCTGAGTTCTGCTTCCTTCATTTCCACCTGCTATTTATTTGCAGTTTGATGTGGTATTTGCTTCCTGTCACGCATTCTTGCAAATGACTTCTGTGCCACCTTATCTCGCTGATGTGGTGCATCCAAGGAGTGGCCGAAATGCAGCTCTGACCATGCGTCACCACCGAGAAGCTGCTTTTTGTCTGCAGGAGGAAGAAAGAAAGGACTTAAAAAATCAAGGCTGCCTCCTAACTGTGTGCGGTGCACACGTGTGGATCTCAGCACATGTTGTTGTGGGCTTCTTTTATTTCCCCTCTTTTCCCCCTTCCACCCACATCTTTGCAAACCAGCGAGCTGCAAGTTTGCTGTTCAGCTGCAAAGTGCCTGTTTTTCATGGAAGAAGTGTTTGTGCAGAGCATAGCTGTGAGCTCAGTTAGGCAGGGGCTGGCCAGGACACCCGGCAGCTGGGCTGTGGCTCTTCAGATTCTGTTTTATTTCAGTAATATTTCTTGAAAGCTTATAATATTGCTAATGAAAAAGGGATGCCCTCAATAAAAAGGGATTTGCTCAAAGACAGCATAGCCAAGAGCAGTCCAACGCGAAGCCACAAGCTTTCCCATCCCATCCTCTCCAGTAGGGTGATTCGGAGAGAACTCCATCAAAAGTGGCATTGGGTATTTTACCCAGATGTCCTCATATAATCCCAGACTGGTTTGTGTTGGAAGGGACCTTAAAGCTCATCCACTCCCAACCCCTGCCACGGGCAGGGACACCTTCCACTAGAGCAGGTTGCTCCAAGCCCCTGTGTCCAACCTGGCCTTGAACACTGCCAGGGATGGGGCAGCCACAGCTTCTCTGAGCACCCTGTGCCAGTGCCTCAGCACCCTCACAGGAAGAACTTGTGCCTAAGAGCTCATCTCAGTCTCCCCTCTGTCAGGTTAAAGCCATTCCCCTTGCCCTGCCCCTACAGGCCCTTGTCCAAAGCCCCTCTCCAGGTTTCCTGCAGCCCCTTTAGGCACTGGAGCTGCTCTAAGGTCTCCCCTTCAGGAGCCTTCTCTTCTCCAGGCTGAACAAGCCCAGCTCTCTGCCTGTCATGCATCATCAAATCCCAAAGGGTCACCCCCAATCATCCCGCAGGGGAATGGCCCTAATTCCTTTAGCTGGGGAAGGTCAACCCAAAGGCAGAGCACAACTCCCACTGGGATGTTTAGTTGTGTTATGAGCTTTTATTTAAAAAGCACATTTATACAGCAATAATTTCGCAGATACAAACTTCAATTTTGTATTCTACAAAAGTCTTTGAATATTCTTCTCTTTACAAAATGGAACATTACAAAAATACAGACAATTTAATATGAATTTTTTTATACAAATGTCTCTAATTGTAGTTATTTTCATTAAAATATTACTACCACAGAACTACAATATTTTAGTCGACTATAAAAAAATTAATTCAAATGCTTTTTTAAGCAGCAAAATGTAAATAACACAGGTCAGGACACAGTTTATAGTCATAGTGGATATATCTAAAATTGTTTCAGAAATAATATTTTACATAGTTAATTTTTAAGGTTTTATACATTATTTATATAATATTTATATATAAAAAAAAATCATAGCTTGCTATAGTTGAAATGATAGGACGGATTCTGTGAGAAGGATGTGCAAATGGCCGTTCTGCATGCTTTGCGGGATCCCTTTGCAAACACGCTTTGTGAAAGGGCTGCAAACCGAGAGCCCGTGGCTTCTGGGCAAGAAAAATAAACTTCAAAATTGGGGAAAAGAGAAAGGAATCGCGTTCCATACAGGCACGACTGATTCACCACCGGGGTCACCGAGCGCAGCACAGGATCTGGTACCTGCTTGGCGCATGCCGGGGTGCCCAAGGAAGGAGGAGGAGGATGAGGAAGGAGGGATGCACAAACCAACTGACACCCAGGCTGGGACGTGCCGCCCAGCAGCCCGTCCCGAAACTGCAGAATCAAAGTTACCCCAGGACTCAGCCCCGAGGGTGTAGTGCGAATGCGTCTTCAGCAGAGCCGCTGCTACCCACTTGCCAGCTTGTGTGGGCACACAAAATCTGCTGGGATTTGAGGGAGGGATGACTGGGGATGCTCTTTTCATGAAGGGCCGTTTGTGGGTGCTGCACAGGCCCGGGGGCTCAGGCAGGATGAACCCTCATGAGTGAATAAGAGGAAGAAATGTGGCTTCTCTACACAGAGTTATTCAGTCTCACTGCATGTCTCAGGACTGCTCGTTAAACGTAGTGTGAACAGAGACCCTTGGACTGGGCAAGCTTCTTCTAAACCAAGTCACAGTATGGAATAGAGGAGGCAAAAATATACTAGTATCAAAAGAAGAGAAAAAAAAAGCAACTCTTACAAACCAATCCCAGATCTTTACTCAGTGCTGTTTCTCGCATGTAGTGCTACACAATTTACTTGTGAGTTGTTTTTTTCCTCGCAGGCATTGGAAATCTTCATAGTATAAAAAATACCCCTAAGATGGCCAGCTTTCCAAAAATCCCTTGGCGTTCATTAGGCTATGAACAATTTGGCGTTCACTACAACATGAACACTCAAACCAATTGCACATCCAGAACTCCGGCACCTCTCTTTGTTCAGCTTTTGTGGTTTGTGTGTTTTTATTCCTTTCCCATTGTCGCTTTGACTTAGTTGACCACCAACCCCTTTCAATCCAAATGTCGCAAGTTTGTGAAGACCACAGAGTAAGACTTTACTGGTTGGGCAAGAAAGTCTCTCCCTACATTCTACTGTCTGATGAGATTTGAGAGCAGCAGGTAGTTGCTGTCAGCAGTCATTTTTTTTTTTGCAAAAAAAAAACAAAAAAAAAAGAAAAAAATAAAATAAAATACAACACCCATCCAATTTCTCAAAGGTCTACACCATGTTGTGATGGTTATTCCGTTCAATGATGTCCACAGGTGAAAGGATCTCCTTCCGGATGGGTGGTGGAGGCAGGCAAGTCTTTGTCTTGGGCTTGAAGAGATCTGAGACGTAAAAGACCTATAGGGATAAAAGGAAAAAGCAAATTTAGTCACATTGGGGGATACTTAATTACAGAAGATATTCACATCTTTAAGCTGCAAAACCAGCACTACTTGTGCTATTGAAGGTCTGTCCGTAACACTGATAGCAGTGAAATCCCAGCGCCTGCTACCACCATAATCAGGAAGAAGACTCAGACCTTACAAACAGCCTAAACCCATTACAGCACAATTTCATTTCTCATTGTGTAATCACCAAGTGAAATGCCCAAACCTCTGGCTGAATGGGTTGAAAAGCCAGGAAACAGATACATGGCCCCACGCTCCAATAAAATAACAAAGGTCTCCAAAGGGCTGGCCTGACTCATTGGTGAGTGGCTGTAGGGATGGAGTTGTCATGAAACAACTCATTCAGCCAGAAATCAGGTAGGCAATTAAGAGCTTTCAAATCAAAGCTGTCCGAAAAGTTATCAGCAGTGAGTCAATGGTGAGTGATGCTCTCCTCATGCCCCACCAAGGTACTGGTATAGAGCCAGGGTCTGATCCTGAGACTAAAACCTAAGGAAAAGAGGAACTATTCCTGATTAGTTCTTCCTAAATATCCTATGATGTAACCCCTCACCCGGATGTGAAAAAGTCAGTACTTGGCAATTCGGGAGGTAGCAACACAATAAGAAACAAACTGCTGGGAGGAAACTTCCACATCCTCCTTGGCAGCCGCTGCACAAAGCTTATCAGTCCTCTAGGACTGGGACACTTTCTCCCTTGCCAAACTTCAGCCCCACACCAGAAGGGAAAAGAGTCAGACATCACAGATCCTCTGCATGGAGCAAGAAGTGGTGAGGAGTCATCACTTCATTAGCTGGCACTAAAGCCCCGAACTTTGGTCCTGCTGCTGACTGCCAGCCCTAATTTCCCAGCGCATCTCAGACATCCTCAAGCGCCAATAGTCTGGACCAAGCTGTGGGCTGGCTGAGCCGAAGCCCCAGGAGGAGCAGCATGTGGTTGTAGGAATTAGCAGTACATTTGAGTTTTCTCCCACAATACTTGGATACAAGATAAATCAGGTTAAAAAACCAACAAACCAAGTCCATGGTGCTCAAAAGGAATAGTATCAGCTGAGTGCATCCAGGCTGGATAATGCAGCAAAGGAGGAGCAAAGGTTTTCCCCATCTGCATCTCCACATATTCTAAATGCCCGCAGCCCAGCCCAGCAGGTCAAGTCGTCCTTGGAAACAACTTTTGCAAGTCCCTATCAGCACAGGCAGATAAGGAGCTGAGCTGAACATAGCGAACCTGTTGTAAGTGGCAATTTACTCCTACAATTATAACCAGGGATGCAGGAAACTGAGCTGTTGTTGCTTGGCTTTTATTGCTTCATGGAAAAGCAGGGAAGGAGCTGACATATAAACCCTCTCTTTTTTTCCATGTATATGCCGGTGTCTAGTTGTATAACAGAGCCACTGAAGCTGTTTACAGAGCAACCAAGTGGCAGCATTGGTACCTTTGGTTAAGTAACAGGATTCAGCCAATCCCACCGAAGATCACAAGCTGGAGTCTAGCCCTTTGCTGCAGCGCTGCAGTGTAAAAGCATCTTGTTTTGCTCTGGCAATGATTTTCTTTTGGTTGTTAATAACTGTAAAACCCCTGCTCGGCTCACTTGGCGTGTTTCTGGTGCCATCCCACTCGCTTGTCCACCTCAGGGAGCTGGATTCAATCAAAAAGATGTCCAATTTCTGCCCCGAGATAGCCATGACAAATCAATTTATGGGAGAAGACTGCAGAGCGCAAGAAGCATATGGGGATTACACCGAATCTGGTCCCTATTTTGGACAGGAATGAGTTATGGTGGAGTGTCATCCTGCATAGTTCAGCTTTTACTGTGCTGCTCACTGCTTTTCAGGGTTTAATGCAGGGGTTGGGTAAGAGTTTTCATTTCTCTTTAAACTGTATTTCACTTTAACATGGCTGGAGGTTATACAAACACTTAAAGGAATCATGAAACGTGATCTTTGGGGGTTAAACAGTGTGTTAAATCCTCCTAATGCTTGAACTGTTTAACGCAAAAAAGGACTAATAAACGTGCAGTTTTTCACTTGGATTAGCTCCATTTCCTGTAGAAGGTGCTCTCCACCCATAAAGAAAACTTGACAGCAGAACACCGAGTGTGTATTGTACAAAGTAAGCCAATATCTTGTATTGCCACTTAATTCCTATTCCTTTTCATTATATTGAAGAAATACTTAATCAGATACAAAGAGGTTAAAACAACTCTTTTAAGCTAACCAGAGCAACACCAGGAGCAAGTCCTTCCAACATCTCCCCTCTTCTCTCTCACCAGACAAGACAAACTACACAACACATAACAGGCTGCCTACAACACGCATAAAGACTATTTCCATTTAATAAATCCTCATCGTATTTCACCCTGGATCAGGGTCCAAATGTCTCATCAGCTGGAAGCACTTGACACTAATGTCTTCTGCTTGTTATTTCAGGCACTGAAGGACAAATGTGTCTGCGGCAGCACAACCTGGATTTAAGCTCTGTCAGCCCTTGGAGATGAAACTTCCAGTTGGTTCCTACTGGAAATTGCACCTTGAAAACTATGGTGCTTTAACAGCCCTTGACTATCAGAGTGGACACTTGAAGACTTAGCTGGGGGAAAACGTGTCTCGGAGCACACATGGTGAGTTGGAGGTGATGAGTTTCCAGGTACCTCCCTCTGCTTCGGAGCATCCCATACACAAGACCTGGATCCCAGAGCTGAGCAACAACCCCCAGGACATCGCAGCATAAAGCTGCTAAACTATGCATTCAATGCAAACTCCAGGGAGTCTTGGGGATGACTCTTCCTCTTGTCCCTTGTTGCAACCTCCCAAAAGGGAAGAAAGTCTGCTGGTACCTCATACCAGCAAAGAACTTACTGATGGCTCTTTGCAAGCTGATGAAATAAGACAAGGGTTGGGTTTAAACCCTGCTCTGAGTCCTGAGCTGCTGCCTGAGAAGTCCCCAGCCACCAAGCCATGCCTGCAAAGGGTTTGGATACAACAGCCATCTGGGAAAAGAAGTACGGGTTGCCCCAGGCTTGCAGGCAAACCTGAGCCTGCCTGTGAAACTCAGGCAGCTGCTTCCTATGTCACTTTACCTTGACACAGGAAAACAGCCTAATGCTGCCACAGCCTCCCCTTCCCACCACAGCTCCCAGCTGCTGGAGGGCCGGGAGAGGACAGCCCGACCTGCTGCTTGTCCTGGCCAGGAAGCATCCGGACACCCATCCGGAGCATCCGGAGAGCTATTGTCTTTCTGAAACCGCTGCTGGGATCCAGGGATGGATTGCCTGATCCCTATTCCTCTTATATATAGCCGTTATCCCACCTCTCAAGCAGAAAGGCAAGCAGAGAGGCAAATACCCCCTTGTAAAACTGCCTGGTGATGTGCATTTGGTCTCGACAAGCCACATCATGCAAACGGCAGCATTTGGACTGAGACAAGCTCCTTCACTGTTCCCAGTGTGGCCCAGGGTCTTTTCTCCCAGGACTGCCAGCTGACTCCTGGGATAGGAAAATACTACCAGGGCTTGGAGAAACACCCTGACAATACTGGAATGAAGGACACGACCTATAGTATGTATTAGAGCAGCAGCAGCATGCATCTGTGCACAGATACTTTGCTAGTTCCTCCCTGTGAATTTGCCAGCCCCACATGGGATATCGGCATCAGGCTAAACCCAACAGCGAGTTAATAATACTTCATGAGAGCTTCCCAACAATGACATTTTTGTTTCAGCTTTGGAATATTATCAATGAGTAGGAAGTACATAAATAACCTATTTTTCTCCTTGCATACTATAACATTAGGAAACTTAATGCCTTGCTTAAAACCTTGCAAGACTGCTTTATTTTTACATCAGCTAATAAAAAAAGAGGGGAAAAAAAACCCACCCAAACCCAAACAAATCAAGCAAGTGGTGTGCTGCTCAAATCTTGCTTTCAGGAATCTGGACAGACAAAGGAACAACCATAACCCCCAGCTCCTTTGTTTCTATGCGAGGCAGCCACCCGACCCGGTGCCCTCCTGCCCTGCCAACTTTAAGCATCTATATGTGTCACTTCGAGTTATAGGGCCGCGCAATCAGGCCACACTTTGGAAAGCAAATTGCATGAGAACAAGCCTGGCAGCTGAAGACACGCGGGCATGGCTTTTGTTCACCGTGTTCTCACGAGTCCTTTTGCCATGTTAAAAACCCACCACCAAAAGAGGCAGCCTGCCTCCCCTCGCTGGGCAGACACCAGCTCCCACCCCCAGGGGATGGCTTTTGGCCAAATGGTGCAGGGAAGAGCCATAATCCCAACTACCCCAGACTTCCCGCTTGGGTCCTGGTGGAAAGCCTTGCAAATGAGCCAGTGCTCATTACCAAGAGCAGCTGGAGGAGAGAATGCTGCTGGATGAAAGGGAAATACCCTGCCTTGTCTGAATGTCTTTTTATCACCCTGAGCTGTCTGGGTCAAGGGGCTTTTGCTCAGGAGCTCAAGGCTGATGGGGAAAAACCCTAAATGTGGTATTTTTTGCTAACTATGCAGTTTGTTTGGGGAGGGGAAGAGAAGCTGCTTCGCCCTTCCAGTACAACAGTGGTGTTTGCTCATGCAGATGGGAAGCGCTGGTGGGTGCACCCTCCTCTGCTAGGTCCCCATTGGAACACCCGCCATCGTGCTGGTAGGATGCTCTGCTCTTGAGCCATGTTCCATCTGCAGATGAGGCTTACACACACTGCCACATGAGGATAACACCAGATCAAGCTCCTGGAGTACACTGCCTCCTGCCACATCCTGGCTGTAACAGGGGTTTCCAAGAGCTGTTGGGTAGGGGAGATGCCTGCTATTCCCCTGGGACCCCCACCAGCATCCCCACTGCTGTTCCTTGCAGGGTTGGCCATACTCACCACGCAGTAAGCCACCAGGGCTCCCTGTGCAAAGCCTGCCAGCACGTCAGTGGGGTGATGCTTGTGGTCTGACACACGGGACAGGCCGGTGTAAAACGCCATCATGATGAGGGTGAACTGGAGGAGGGGACGGAGCAGGCGGGCTCCCTTCCACGTGAATCTGGCCTGCAGATAAAACTGTGGAGAAGAGAGGGAAACAGAAAGGTTGGGTTAATTTGAGGGCAGCAAAGGAGAAGTCTTGCCCTAAATGTGCACACATGGCAGCAAGCACTCTGTGGGGCTGGTCATGGGGCACCTGCACCCCTGTGGCTCAAAGGAGGAAGGAGTTACCAAAGAAGGAGGATGCTCTTCGCAAATGTGTGGCCCCCAACATGCAGAGAGAAGTGGAGCTGGAGGGGTTGTAACCCATGGAGGGGATGCAGGCAGAGGCGGATGGGTACACCCCATCTTTGGCGAACCCAGGTTAAGGGATCCCCTGCATTCCAGCTCACACCACAGCCCCGCTTCAGCCTCCACAAGGCATCCCATCGGGCCAAATAAGGGAATTCCTCCCTATGACTATTTAGTGTGTAACAGAAGCAAGGTCCCAAATCTGAGACAAGCAGAACCCACAGCATCTCTCAGGTGAAAACCAGGAATCAGTGCAGCAAGCCACACCTCCAGAGCTAGCCCCAAGGATCCTCAGATGCAGCCACAACCTGTGTCAACATGCAAAATACAATCCTCTAACATTGCTGTCATGTATCCCAGCCTGAGCCCTGGGGTTTGCGTGGATGTAGGAGGCAGCCGCTGCATCGCATGGCATGGGAAGTCATTCCTATCCAGAGAGGGAAAAGCGAGTTCCTGGCTCGACCCAAAAAGACGAAGCTGACGTGACCTCAGTTGGACATTGTCCCTTTGCCGTGACTGTCTCAGGCCCGTTTCCGTTTCAACCAGTGGGCACGGCCGGTTCCTGTGGGAACCGGGAAGCGAGGACAGGAAAACGGCAACCCACTGCCCACAGATGAGCAGGGAGGAAGGCTGTGGGAAGGGAGGGGACGCTGCATCAGCCTTCATGCTCACAAAGCAGAGAGGCATTCAATGGCTCCAGGAGTGTAAAAGTGCCTGGAAAACACTGCTAGGCTCCTGCAGCTCAGACCTACTGCCTGTGGGCTCATCCGCAGCATGCATGTTCTGCCTGATCCTAAATGAAGCACTGGAAGTCAGACCCAGTATGCTTTATGGGACTCTGCAACATCAGAGGGCTGGAAAGGGGTTTAATACCCATTTACGATCCCTTTTACACACCCAGAGCAGTTTACACTGCGTTGATATAAAAGGGAATGAAGCTCTTGTTGGGTTCCCACAAATAACTTAACGACTCCATTTACCGATAAAAGCAGAATTAATTGGAAAACTGATAAGGGGGAAGCATCATTTTGGCCAATTTAGTATGTTTGGCTGTTGCATAAATACCATATTTACCCCTCTTTGGAAAGCAGGCTGGGCTCTCATGAGGAAATGGAACATCATGTCATTTCAATAGAGCAGATGCTCCAAATTATCCAAATTGTTAGCCAATTAACATGGAAGAGAACAGTACCAAAACAGCTCAGTGCTGGCTAATGCACATTATGATTCTGGAAAATATATCTGCAAACCAGCCAGAGTCTGGGAACTGAGCCACGTCACCACGGTGCACACCCCACACCATGCAAACTTGTGTACACGATGCTATGGGATGAGTTACAGCTGTCTAGGTCCCACAGCAAACCCATGCTGATGCAGCCCAGGGAATGGACCACTGGTCTGGTTGTCTAGTTTGTGATAAAACCCCGCCAGCAATGAGGAGGTGCTTTCCCTCCAGGTAAAATGCTGCCATCACTGAACTGGAAAGCTAGAGCTGTCAAATAGCACAACCGCATCCTGCATAGGCACTCGCAGTGATTTAACAGCAGATACTTCACCCTGCAAGCAAATATCTCTGTGGTTCATTAGCAAGGAGCTGTATTTTCAGTTTGCAATGCTTATACTGCCTGAATTTTCACTGCCATTGTGCACCCAGTGATCTGCCACTGAGAATAAAGTGCAGGGAAGGATACTCGTGGGAAGTATTCAGGGAAGGTGGTGATAGAGGGTGCTGGGAGCTCCCATGTCTTTAAATACAATTTCTCAGTCTAGAGACAATGTACCTTGAAAAAACTATTTGTGAAGAGCATTTTTCAAGCACACAAAAGACAGAAATATGAGCTTCTATTGCCATGGCTTAGATTAAGGACTATTTTCTTGGTCAAGAGTCTCGGCCCAGCCCAGATGACAGTGCAAAACTCAGGTTCCAGTATGTTGCTGCAGAGCAAAATTATCTCCAAGTATTAGAGCTTATAGACTATTACGCTCAGTTCTACCACAAAGACTTAAATCCTAATGTCATATTGTGACTAAAGACATCAGGATTAGACATTTTCCAACCAAGCTGAACCACAGAATCAACTTGGCTGGAAAAGACCTTTAAGATAACAGAGTCCAGCCATTACCCCAGCACTGCAAAGTCCACCACGTGGCACTAAGGGCCTCATCTACACTGTTTGTGAACACTTCCAGGGATGGTGATTCCACCACTGCCCTGAGCAGCCTGTTCCAATGCCTGAGCACCCTTTCAGTGAAGACTTTTTTCCTAATGGAAGTCTTGAGGCTCTGTCACATCAACCTCCTTAAGAAAGGAACTCGTTGCTGGATAATGCGACATTTATCCCTTTTGCATAGCCTTGACATCCTCTCCAATCATTCCATCCCACAAGCTTGGCCTAAACAGTTCCTCTGCAGGTGGGGATGTGATAGTACCAATTAAAAACTAGCAATAAAAAGCAAACACCAACTTTGAACACACAGTAAAGCAGACACTGCTGGAGCTGAAGCAATTGAAAACCAGCCCTGTTTGTATATACTGACCCATTCCTTCCAAAGCACAGCACCAAAGTGTGCCTAATGTACACGCTTTAGCCCTGGGAAACGCCTGCAAAGGCAGCGTGGCACCATATGGGCTGTGCTGGGGAACACCCAAGTGCCCAGCACCTAATTCACACCCACACTGGTATATCCTGGAGGAGCAAAACAAACCAGAATAGATGCACCTCAGACACCACACTGTCAGCGTAAGGATCTCGGCTGAGCTCCTTTCATTGCTCCAATCAAAGTCTTGGGAAAATTGCTGTTTAGTTCCCCATTCATAGGGAAAAGAGGATAACAGCAATTTTCATATTCTAAACACCAGGGTGCTGTGCCATAAGTACTTTAGAGGCAAGCCTTGGGGTGCTCTGAACTTTGCCTCTTTCATACTGAGGGCAGAGAAACCTAGTTAATAAGAGATCAGAAAGTAAAAGAGGAGCTCATGGGCTAAAAAGATTAGAATTTCCCTAAAACAGGAATTAGTGCTCTTAAGAAAAAATGGGAAGTTCCTGGTAATTTATCCAAAAAAAAAAAACCTGCTTTTGGTTTTTCTGAAACCTGGGAGCAGATGTGAATTGCTGCCTCCTAAGGACTGCCAGATTTGGTTGGGAATGTGGAGCTGGATGGAGCCCTTCCTGGGAAGGGATGGGGAAGCAAGACCACAACCAGGGTTCTTTCCACCACAAACCATCACAGGGCAGCAAAACTCAGGAGGAGCATCAACAAGAGCAAGGGTGGATGAAACGAAATGGGATCACACAGAGCAGCAGTTATATGGAGCTGCCATCCACAGTCTCCTGGCAGAGGGCGAGTTACCACAGAGCAGATGGCTTGAGGGACGTCACATTGCTCTTCTTCTGCCAGGGGACTTCCACAGTGGTGGTGGGGACAGCCCGTGACCGCACGCAACCCCTGAGTAAACCCTTTGAGTAGGAGCTGGCAGGGTACATGGGCTAAAAGCATCACCTCCAGCCTCCCGGGGCTTTCTGCCACCCAGAAATCCCATCCTCTTCACGCTCTCCCCAACCACGTCCCTTAGTCACACCTTCTGGGAAAGGGCTGATCTTGTTTCTGACTGTCTGACCTGGTGTTACCTCCATCTCCAGCCCCATCTGCAAACAAAGAGGTACCCAGAGTGGTACGGAGCCAAAGCCTCCCAGATCCAAACTCACCCTGATGCAACACAGGGCCCTGGCTGGGCAGAGCCAGCTGGAGGAAGAAGGGGAACAGAAGAATCCAGCTTTCAGCACCAAGCTGGCTAGAAGTCAAGGACAGGGAAAGGGCAAAGACCTCCCAGCACTGAAGGCACATGCTGGTTGCCTCTTCCTCGCCCTTGCTGATCCTCTAACCTCATTGGGAACATCCCCATCAGCTCAGCAACGCAGTTCACACCTCGACCCTGGCCTCTGATGCAATTCCAGTTTATTCATTTACTTAGGTCACCGCTAAACTTGACTCCAAGTCCACAACCACCACGGAGTTTCCTTCTCATGGCCACGTCATTGCTCAGCAGCACCAGAGAGCTGGGACCATCACCCTTTAGCAAGAAGCCTCACACCCCGATATAAATACATATAAACCGTGTTTGTGTATGTAAAATTAGAGATGGAAGGATAATTCTACATCTAAATTAGTAGAGCGCACTTAAACCTATTCTGAAGTCTTCAGTCTCACCCACCAACACACATTAAATACACAAACATCCCTGTTTTACTCTCATTTTGTCCAGAATCGGCCAACATTGCTGAGGAATATTTAGCTTTTCTGATATTAATTTAGCTTTCCTGCATCCTCTCTGTGGTTGGCTGGGATTTCATGCTGCAAGAAAAATCAGCATTATGGTCTCACATGCTCGAGGGGAGCAGAAAGCATCCATTGCTCTCTACAAAGACTCCCAACATCCATTAAAACTCGACTGAGAGGTGCAAGTCAGGTCCAGAGGGCTGCATGAAATAAGCTGCTACATACCACCTCTTTCCTCAGCCTGCTATAAATACGTATTATGGGCTCGCTCAGCCAAGGAGTAACAAAGCAAGGAAAATTAAGACAAAGAGGATTACCCAACTGTAATTTCCCCTTTTAAATGTTTTATACAAAGGCCTGATGTTAACTGAGCATTCTTGGTGACAAGAAGGCTGCGAGAAACTTAGCCATGAAATCTCAGCATTTAGAACTAAATCCCAAGGGATTTTACTGTGTTGCAAGTGCTTTTCCCCAGGACTTTTCCCCCAGAGCCCTCTGGGGCTTGGCCTTTAGCCACCTTTTCCTACTGGGAAAAGCCAAACTGCTTTCTCCTTGATGGATACTGCAAGGCACTGCTGCTGTGCCAGGGAACGGGGAAGTCATGGTCACCCATTCACTGGCCACTAAATCCCTAGGCAAATCCAGCCCCATGGTGCAGGTGAAGCCCCATGGGATGTGTGGGAATCAGCTATCTTTTAATAGATCAACCTCAGCTTTCTGGCACCCGCCTCCATCAGGTGAGGCAAACTTGAAAACATTATAATTCAGAATGGGCTCCAAGAATGAAGCCAGGGAGCGCCAGGAAAGACGGGAAGTGACTTATCCTTGAAATATGAAGTATTGTTCAATAGGGAATGCACTCAGGACATGGCTGATCAGCTCAGTCTCTGCAGCACATGCTCAGCCCCACAGATACTCCCAATTCTGCAAAGACTGACTAAATCCATCTCCTGCAGGTGCTGGCATTGTGGATGCCACACTTCTTATCAGGCTTTCCAAAGCCCGCTGGTTCTTTGAGCTGAGCGAGACAGCAGGGTTTATTCTGCATAAATCCTTTCAGGTTATCATAACCACCTCTATTTTTCACATTATTTTTGGATATTATAGTCCTGTCCAACATGACAGATTTTCTGCCTCCCTTCTTCCATGAGATTACTTTGCTCAGGCTCTGGCAGTGGCCATGGAGCTGAAGTGATGGAGAGCAGGGTGCTGCTAGACAAGTGAGAAGCATAGGTTCTCAACCAGTTAGGTTGGAAAAAGCTGTCAAGATCATTATTTCCTTGCCCTGATACACACCACATCATTCTGCTTTGTCTCAAGTTGCCTTTTTCCACCTTCAGTTTGTGGTATAATTTGGTATAATTTTTCCCCTGATTTTTTAAGGCACAAGGCAACAGAACAGCTGGTCAGACAGAGCCTGCTACCAAACTTACCCCTGTTTCGGGACAAGGAAAGAAATCAAACCATTCTTAAGGGACTGGGTGTCAAAATCCCTCCATGGTGAAGGATAAGTGAATTGGCCTGTTGTACCAGGTCGAGAGGGACAGGGGCAGAGGCTGCTGAGCACTGACAGTGCTCCCATATGGGGACAGGGAAGGGCAGCCAAGAGAGATCGGGGCAGTTTTCTGCTCCAAAGTGTTACGCAGGACCTAAATGCCACTTCAGCTGCAAAGTTATGAACAAAATCAGGCAGTAGGCAATGGTGCAAAGCAGTGCTGGAAAATGAGCCATGAAGGTGGAAATGCAGGGAGGGGGTGAATGCTTGCCTAGCTGGGCACAGCACCCCGGGTTTATCCTCTAACCTGATGGATGCTGCAGATCATGCCATGTGCAAAAGGTAAAGCATCAAGCTTAGCTTCCTAAAAGGCCTGGGAGCAGTGCCTACTAAAAGAAACAACCCTGGAAGGACAACCTAAATCTTGCTGAATGGAGGGAAACCACCACTGACTTACGGACTGGCAGTGCTCACTGTTTCCGGATGCCAAGACTGAAAGCATCTCCGGGCTGACTTATCTGAATCCGATCTCCTCAGAAATGAATAAATACCAGCATGAGGGATGGTTTTCCATACTCAGCTTGGAAAGTTTTGCAATGGTAGCAGCAGAGGGCTGAGCCTCCTGCAAAGAGCCACCAGGGTGGCTCTGCATCCTAATGGCTGGGAGGAAACAGCCAGAATGTTTACTGGAAAATCCAGACGCTTTCCAAGAATTATATAAAATAAGAAGGAAAACAAGGAAAGAACACACCATCCCCAGCAGCCTGGAGAGCTTAGTCATTAAACTGCCACAGCGAGGGGGGATCCAGGGCTGAAAAGGCAGGAGGGAGTAGTGGTCACTTATCTTTTCAGAGGGTAAAGGGATGGGGCGGAAGCGCTGCTCAGAGATAAAAAGCTTATGTTTAATGTTTTTATCAGTGCCATGCTGTTTCTTTGCTTTCTGATCTGAGCTTACAGGAGATGGGAAGGGGCACAAATCTTGAATGGAATCCAAGCCTTTTTCCCCATTAAAAAAAAAAAAACACTAAATAATTCACATATATATGACCCCATATATATGACCATATACATACACATATAAGCAGAGATCACTCTCCAGACCCTCCCAAACGCTGTGTGTGGGTCCAGCCCCTTGCAGTTTGCCTCCTGCAGCCCCGGCAGGAAACACCTTGGCAGCCACCCCAGCCCCGGCACAGGAAGGGTAGAGCCATTTCTCACTGACAAAGAAAAACAAGTCCCAGCCCTCGGGTCCGGATCCAGGCAGGCAGAGGCTGCTCCACCTGCTCCGCTGGCACATTTGGGAACCAGCCTTCGCTTCCCAGTGGCACATCTTTCCCCCCCGTCATTGCAACATGCTGGCTCACCCAACACCTTCCCCAGTGGAAACCACGACATGGGGTGAGCAAAATTGCAGAGGTCGTGCACAGATTTAATAGGATTCGGATCTAATTGCAGCCTCGGCTACATCCCAAAGCTACACACCACAGGAGTCTTCAGCCCAAATCACACCACAGGGGCTGAGAGCGGATCTTTCCACTACTGGCTTGTTCAGGCTCTTTTTTTCCCACCAACCCTTTATCTCTGATGCTCATCGTGCTGTTATTGCTACGAAATGCAGGTGAGTGCCTTGGGAAAGGGGGACAGGGATAAATCTCAACCTCAAGCAAGGCTGAGGTTACTTACCACCAAATACAGCATGGTGTAGAGGGAGAAGGACGCGTGCCCGGAGAAGAAGGATTTCCTGCAAAACAAAGCAGGTGCTAAGAACCAGCCACTATAATCTTCACTATGAGAATTTGATAAGTAATATAGTGACTTATCTGCTGCTACCAAGAGGGTGCCAAAGCAGAACTACCCCCAACCTTTCAGGTTATAAAACCTCCGTTATCCGCCCTGCTCGCTCGTGAGGCAGAAAGGGAACGGATGGACAGGATGCTCGCATTGTTCGTCCCTTCCTGGTCTACTCGTGGGACAGTAGTTATTTCCAGGATAACCCGCTAACTCATCGTCTCGCCTCAAATAACCAGGAAACCGTAAAGAAATAAGAAGTGAGCAACTTCTGCTGTTGCTTAATTGTAGCTTGCAAAGTGTGGGCCTGGAAATGTCAAAACCGAGCATCTCATGGATTTGATAGGGAGCTCAAAGGGGATGTCCTGGCAGCCCTGCCTCTGTGGAGCCTCAGTGGAAGAGAAGCCCTCTGCTCTACCGCATGGGACAGCTCGAGCTGCTCACCATGAGCTCAGCTCTGATGGTGCATTCCCACATTGAGCAACTGCTCAGGGAAACAATAGCGTAGGAGTAAAGAGAAAGGAAAAGAAATATTGTTCGGCTGAGTCCCACAATTCCCAAGGGAAAGCGCCTGCCGCTGGTAAGTTACAGCCTTCACAGAAAGCAGCATTTGAATCATCTAGTGCTGGCAGAGAAACCCCCCTGAGATACTAAACATCAGACACCGTTTTGGTAGCAGCAACCCATCTCTTTGATGCGGTGGGCTCTCACCTGGCTTCCTGGACCTTGCTGTCGTTTCCCCTGCAGGTGTAGTTCTGGATGTAAACTCCCTTAGCACAGTTGATGGTGGAGAAATCCAAATCGCAAACCTCCAGGAAATGCGGCCGCAAGCGCCCCACGGACACTTTGGCAATGTCTGTGAAGGACTGGCTGATGGCACAGCCGAAAACGAAGCATCCCACCTGCTTGTAGAGTGCTGCCACGTAGGGGTTCTGGATGAAGGACCTTGACTTCTCCTTCAGGTAGTGGATGCGGTAGAGCTCCCCCGTTATAATCTGTGGGAGAAATGCAACAGAGAGGTTAGAGAGCAGGAAAAACGCTGGGCAAAACTAGTGATAGGTGGTGAATGCAGGGCTAGCATCTTGAACCAGGAATCTGCTTCTATAGTGAGGAAAGAGAGAGACCGGCGTCTCTTCATCCTACTTATGTTCCACTTCCAGCATTATAGTGCTCTAAGTGTTGTTTATTGAAAAGCTCAATAAACAACACTTAGAACACTATAATTATTGAATCATTGAAATATTGAAAAATGCAATAAAAAAAAGAAAGAAAGAAAGCTAGATTTTCATTTAGCATGTTGGCATATCTTTACAGAAGTGAAACAGTATCCAGATCTATACCAGCCTAATGGAAAAAGTAATAATTCAATGTAAACCAGATAAAGAATCAGTGTGTGTTAGGGAAGGAGAGGCCAGATCACTACCCTCTTATCAAACTGATTGTAGAGGAAAACAAACGAACAATCTCCTTATCTTCCTCTCTGAAAACCACAAACAGAACAGGGTAAGACTCAGAAAGCCCCAAACTTTGCAGATTCTGGCCCAAAATTTACCATCACCAGACCTAACTCAAGCTGCTCAAACCTCTGTAAACGCCAGCTATTTCTAGGCATTCTTGCCATTGCAGGGCAGCAAATTACATTTTTCTTGGGTCAGGGGTGCTGGGGTTTGACAATATCATCATAAATCACTGTCAGGGAGCAGAGGACCTGGCTGCTCATAATTCCAACTCTGAAAAGGCAGGTTAATGAAAATCGGGCTGTGAAATGAAGTCCAAATGTCTCACCTCTCCCAAAGAGGCAAAGGCTTAAATTGTTCTCCGTCACGTTACACACCTAAGTTTTGAGCTCCAGATTTACAGCTTTAGGATTTTATTCATTACTTTAAATGTTTTTATACCCGAGTAATAAATTGAAGGTTTTTTTTCCCCCCTCTTATTTTTCAGCCACCCCTTGCCCCCGCCCCTCTCTAGTCACGAGGGCTATGATATGTAAAATTAACTGTCAGGAAAAATGCCTTCATGTTAATCCCTTTCTGGAGCAGCCAGCAATATTCCTCCTGGCGTGGCAGCCTGCCAGAGGCATGCAGGAGACAAGGCTCCCCTGCCTACCTATTTTAAAAGCTTGGCACAGCCTTTGGAAAGTAATAAACTGGAAAATGTATAGCAATTAGACTAAGAGGAGATGAAGCTGTATCATTGTTTGAACTTAACTCGTACCCTGGCTTGAAAAAACAAAGGTTGACTTAAGGCAGCTGAAATCACAGCTAAGCAGGCTTTATCAAAGAGAGATACAACTATAATAACAAGAAAATAAAGGCCAAGCTACAGCTTTCTGCCACCATATTTTGGGTGGCTGCACCATCATTTGGTGTTTACATGTCACTGCTCTTTACGTCATTTAGTCCTAGAAATCTAGCGGTGAACAAGAACTGTGTGGGGAGCTGCAGTGAACCAGCTCCAGTGTCATTTTAATCATAGAATGGTTTGGGGCAGAAGGGACCTTAAAGCTCATCCTGTTCCAAGCCCCTACCATGGGCAGGGACACCCTCCACTAGAGCAGGTTGCTCCAAGCGCTGTCTAGCCTGGCCTTGAACACTGCCAGGGACATCCACAGTTTCTCTGGGCAACCCATTCTATTGTCTCACTACTCTCGCACTAAAGAATTTCTTCCTTATATCTAATCTAAATCTACCTTCATTCAGGTTAAAGCCATTCCCCCTTGTCCTGTCACTACATGCCCTTGTGAAAATTTCTTCTCCAGCTTGTTGGCCAATTTAGGTACTGAAAGCCTCTCTAAGGTCTCCCTGCTCCCTTCTCCGGGCTGAACAAACCTCAGAGACTCCAAAGACCATTGTTTCCCTTCATCTTGGACCACTTTCCAGCACAAGCTGGCAGCCAGAAATCTACAGTCATGAGAACTGCAGAGGGAGATTATCCTTGGATGGACATGGAGGTTCCTGCACAAGGACACAGCCACTGCCTGCAGCCTCTCAAGAGTCTAAATTCACAAGAAGGGAAGCTACGAGCCTCAAAACTCATGGCTTTTGCAGAGGGAGGACGAGACGAATTAAGGATGACACCCGATAGCAGCAGATGTGCTGTTACTCCAAACTCACAAACAGGTCCACGTAAAACCCAAGGCTCTTGGCCTGGGCCAGGCATGTGCCCATTTTAAACAGGGACCAACAAAAGTCTGGGGATTAATATTTTTCTCTCACCGTTGGTGGTCTGGGTAATTGCACACATGTAGCAGATTGTAAACTGGAGACTTCATTCCCTTGCTAACATGCTGCTGGGCAGCCATGAACCCTCCCCGCTCAGTTAAAGCCATGGCTCAACCTTAATGAGAAGCTAAAAAATTGGGTAAACTTGTGTTTTTGGCAGGGCTGTCCCAGATAAAGCAAGACAGTGAATAACTAATGCAGTACAGATGTGCATGAGCTGAACAGACATCCCAAAAAGAAAACAGGTCTTACGGATATTAAGCTCTTCTTCTGCCTTGCACTGCTGCTGAGCCATCCGTATGGGATATATGCCATACCTACGTGATGGGCACAGCTCCTGGGGCACTGTCACACTTAAGAAGAAGCCAATATCAACCTTTTCTCTCTGTGAAGGCCTTTGGCAGACTTTTGGTTGTCATGCCCATTTTATCATTATTATAAGGTATCACCAGCAATCCAATTAACCTGTAATTGCTTTTAGAGCTTTTCTCATCACTTATGTCTCTGGTGTCACGTTCTCTGTGTCTAACCACATTGAAGCGTACCACCTTCAACTGTAAAACAACCAGATAATCTGCCTTTGTAACTCAGATTATGCAGGAAATGAGTTTTCTTAGGTGTTTGCCATAGGCTTCCAAAGTCTATCAGGTGTGGGGACACAGGGCCTAGAGCAGTGCTACCCATACGAGGTTCAGGAAGAGGAAAATATCACCTTCCCCCAGTCATCACAGGGATCATCAACATGCTCCTGTGCTGATCAAATTAACCATCTTCCAGCAAAGAAGAGCAGTCAGGAGAGATGCAAGAGTGCACAGCCAAGGGGCAAGAGCCTCTCCAGGGTCATCTGCGTGGAAACTTGCCTGAAGCCAGTAAATATACAGGTATTAAAACCAAACGCATACCCCCTCACATCCTGATTGAAGCAAAGGTCTTTGCCTCTGCCACTTACTTAACGAGCACTCTGGGTGTCCTCAAGCCATTTAAAACATGACCTAGACCTTTTACCCCGGGCTAGACTACCCATGACGCCACGTAAAGCAAGGGCGTGAAATACTGGCTGCGCCATCCGAAACGCCAGCTCCCTGGAAGTCCTCACAACCACAGTCCTGCCTTCCGAAAGCAAACGTTGTGAGCGAAAGGAGCGGAGTCAGTGCCTTGTGGATTTGGAAGGAATTCCTATTATGCTACAGTAATGCTGGTATCTGGGTTACATCTGCAAAAAGAGGTCAGGCTGACTTGAATTTTCCATGCATGCTGCCATAGCAAAGAAATCTGTTGCTTCAATTCCTCGTTAGCCATTTGTATCACTCAACAGCAAATGGCCCAGCTCTTGAATTTACCTTATTAAGTTACATTTGTTGTGGGCACAGTGAAACCAGGGCAGAAACATCTAATTCTTTGGGGATTTTCTTTCTCTTTTAATTGACCTGCTATTTCATGGTAGAAAGTTGATGGATCACATAGACAGCTGATTATGTTTCCAGTTTCTGTTCCAACTCCTGTATTTGCCACTGCCTCATTACTGATCAGAAGCACACTCGGCATGGAGCCGGCGTGCAGATAGCTCAGGCAGTAATGTGAAAATGAGAGGCTTTTTCATTTTGTTTTTATGGCTTTTCCACACTCGGGGGTAATTCACCTGCAGGGGAAAATTCTGCTGTGTTTATGGAATTGGGGGTCTGCCACCTTCTGGGCTTGTTTTGAGGAAGGAGGAAGCATAGGAACAAGGCAGGTTTGAGGACCTACTTTGCTAAGTGAGTATATGTGATCAGGAAACGATGGAGAGATCAGGAAATGATGGAGATATTCACAGCATGAGGCAGCAAGGCTGAGGATGAGGTATTACCAAAGCAGGCACCATGCCATGCTAGAACACCTATTGGCCTGTGACATTGCTCCTGCAGGGAAGGATGATGGCTAGGAGAGGAACAAGGACTCCTGAGCTCTCCCATCTTCACCCCTCCCATCGGAATAACCAAGAGGAAGGCAACATCCCTGGGAAAGCACCTTAGCGGTGCTGACACCAGGTGAGAAGCAAAATGTAGGTACTTTTCATAGGGGAATTTCATCTTCAGCTGCAAGCGTTTAGCTAACAACCAAGAGACAGCTCTTGCCTTCTGCCCCAGCACCAGATACAAGTTGGCACAGGGAGGCTCAGCTCCATGGGCTGAATTTTTGGCTGACATATAAAGCTCTCACCGTGCAATTGTTTCCTAGCACAGCTCTAGGAAAGCTGGCAGAGAAGAGAAATGAGGAGGCATTAGGAAGGTGGTGCATTAACTACTTTTTATAGCGAGAAGTGTGGGAATACGCTCCCCTTGGAAGGTTTTAATTGTCTTCTTAAAATGGTTGTAATACACAACCTCTTAAAAATCTAATACTAAGCTATGAAACTTTTCCAGGCACCAGTTAGCTGAAAAGATGTATCCTTTTTTTTTTTAACCTTATAAAATAGGCAAATACCAGGAGTTATTTGAATAGGGACAAACCATGCCAAGTCCTTACTGACACTCGAGTCTTTTTGTTTCTACTCTGAACTCTTACTGGAGGGTGAAAAAGCTCACAGACTTGCCCAAACAGCTTTGGGCCTGTTTATAGGCTTCAAGAATAATCTCATTCCTCTTATTACAAGCTCTCATTTGCAACTGTTTATTGCTCTGCTCTTACACAGAAGCCAAGCAATCGCAGAGATGTGTACCTTGGTAGACAGTGTGGACACACCAGCAAGACCGTGTTAAACCCCATGCCAATGGTGCCATTGGCTAAAGAGGTGACAAAAGCCATCAGAGATGCTCAAGGGATAGGAGAGGAGGGTTCAGAAGTGGTACTTACAGCGAGGATGGCGATGAGGATGCCCGCGGCACACAGCACTGCATCGTTGATAGTCTCCATCGACTTCAGCGGGTACCTGATGCTGTCGTCATCGCAGTAGAAGCCCCGCTGGTAGGGCTGGATTGTGCTTGTTTCAATGATGAGGAAGGGCAACCCAGCTAGAAAGAAGGCGAGACAACAACAAAACTCATCAGCAATAGAGCCAAACACAAGCAGCTTGCCAAAAAAAGGACCCAACTAGAAAACCCCTTGCAAGCCACGCAGCACTGTTGCTGATGGTTTTCCTTCCATATTGTTATCTTTCCAAAGGGCATAGCATTGGGATTTGTTTTTCCAAGTTGCTCTTGCGGGGAAAAAGCATCTCCTCTGTTAGGGTTATCAGATGTCTGCACTGCCTGGTTTCAGTTAAGCCTTGTGCATTGCAAATATTAACTTACAGGAATGGACCCCTAAAGGAATCCCTCTGCAAAAAGCCATGAAAATGAATCTGGCACTTTTCTCTGGGGAGGGCCTGATGCTCTGCTGAGCGCCCCATGCCAGGGCAGCCCCAGAGCTGTGCAAACAAACCCTGGAAGATCAAGTATCAGCACAGCTTCCCCTACCTGGTCAGCCCAGCTACACTCCATCCCATTACATTTATGCCTTTGAAGCCTTCCTTGGCTTCCTCCTCTCTGTATTTACAGGGTATGTGTGTGCTTGTACCTACTAATGCCACAAGACTACATGCTTTGAGCACCTGTGGGACACCCACCCTTGACCCATCTATGGAAGGAGAAGCTGAGCACACACCCAATCAATCCATCCAGCACAGATGCTGAACTCCCACCAAAGCCTGTTCACCTTCGATCATATTAAAACCACATAACTGATCTTAAACAGTTTGTGAACCCTCTGTGCAGGAGACCTGCATCTGCCCAGCTCAACTGGACCTTCGCACCAGGCCTGGAGCAGATCTGCCCCAAAACATGGTGTGATAGGTTAGGACACACAGTATGGAGGGGACACCGCAAAACTGCTGTATGTCTGTATTCTTCTGAGCTTCTTAGAGAAATACAGTTTTGCCTTAAACTTAGGAGAGCCCTGGGGTATTTTAGTGCCATGATGATACCTTGGGCCAGGCACCCTCCTTTCCTTTGCCTTGGTTTCCCCATCCCTCTGTGCTATTAAGCCCATCACTAAGGGGAGCAGCATATCCTCACCAAAACAAGCCCCAGATTCTTCGAAACCCACATTGAGAGTAAATCACAAACCACAAGGCACAGGAAACCCTCCTCCCACTTGCAGAGCGAAACCCAGGTAAGGGGAAAACAAAGGCATAGTGGTTCGAGCTCCTCCTTGGGCCAAGACAACAGGTCTCACGCCCAGATCCTACAGAAAGCAGTAGGGAATATTTGTCGACCACTAACTTGCTTAAGTATCTGTGGGTTTGTTTACACAGCCCAGAAGTCTAGGACATCAGAGGGATTTTCCCTTCTAAAACTAATAAAAAGTAAGTTAAAAATGAAATGCTGTTGGGTTTAACCTAAGCTTGTCCCCAGTACGTTTGTAGTGATCATGGTCTGCTAGATGTCATCAGCGAGGGTACCATCCAGGTTGTTAAAAAGTGTCACCAAAACAATGTTCCCCATCTCCAGGTGAACCACCTTCTGTATTTCACTTTGTGCAATCCATTTTGGCTCCTTTTCCTATATGTTAATAGGTTTGCCTAATCCAGGATTATTCAGGGGTTTTCTTGGTCTTAAAAGGGAAAGTCTACCTCATCTGTGAGCAGGAACAACCACACGCAGACCCGAAGCCTCCCAGGTACGCAAAAGCAGCCAGGGCCACTGCTCAGGATCCCTTTCAGATCCTCTCTAAAACCCCTGGCAATGGGTTCATTGCAAGTGCTGGGCCCTGCGGTGCTTGGCAAGGCGGGATGGTTTCCACCACATGTGTGAACCAGCAAGGAAAGGTTTCAGAACCGCCTGCCCAGCTCAGATTTGGTAAATAAAGATTGGACATCTTGTGTGAATCCAGTTGATCTTCATTCCACTATTTAACCGTTTTGATGCCCAGCCAGCTTGGCCCCAGAAAGTGCCTCTGATGCCAGCAATCCATTATTAATAGGCCACTTAAAAAATCCTTGGGTTTCCCAATGAAAAATTGCAGGAGAAGAGCTAAAGTCACTCAACGTGATCCAATTTCACATGCACTTGAAGCAGCGGTTGAACTCGGGGAGTAGACATGCCACGGTTACGTGGCTTATTGTTATTTCTCCAGTTCCTCTTGTTAATAGCTTTCACATGACAGGTCTGTAAAACACATGTTCCCACAGACAATAAAATACATCTGAAAGCTAAAACTGGCTTAAAGGAAAGAAAAAAAAAAAAGACAATAGTGTTCCTATACATTATGTGAACCCAGGAATAATAAAGATTTGTTTTCCCTTCATTCATTGACCAGCATGGGGTAGTACTTCCACGTTGCAATTATATGTACACTTGCCACAGCTATAATAAGAGCATAACTGACCTATATGGTACACAATTTCTTAAAGCACACATAGGCATAGTTTAGAGAAATCCAGTGGGTTTAGTTTTCTCTCCTACAAACTTGTGGTTCAGTGGGATATTGCCAATCAAGTCTTGATGTTTTTCCAGTAAAACAGTAACCTCAGATTCCCTTTCCCCCCCTCTTTTTCTCTTTTTCTTTAAAAAACATGAGAAACACAAACATACTCTCCATAACTGAACGGATGTTACTCTGAAGACATAAGACACCTTTGATTTCAAGGGCTGGGTGAGAGGCTGCTAGTTCAGCCAGAATTACCCAAGGAAGAAAAGACCCCAGCCCACAGTAAATTGTGCTTAAGATGGCTCTTCTTCCACAAGGATATTTCCTGGAGGATGGGTTGTCTAAGTCTCTTTCTTGGTCACCACCCACATTTTTGTTGGCAAGGGGGTTCCAGTCTGTAGTGGTGCCAAAAGGCAGCCAGAGAATGAGTTTTGCAGAAAAACACTACAGAGGGAAGTCTGGAAGAAGACAGAAGATTAAATGTGGAGAGAGATGCCTTTAGGATCCCTCAGCAAAACACCACAGAGACATTATTCACACTAGGAGAGGTGCCAGAGGCGAAGCTCTCCAGAAGTGGGGCTACAGCCCACACACCCTTGGAAATGGAAGACAAGCAGCATACCACAAAGATCATAGAATCACAGAACGGTTCGGCTTGGAAAGGACCTTAAGATCATCCAGTTCCAACCCCCCTGCCATGGGCAGGAACACCACACACTAAACCTCACCACCTCTTCTGCCCCAGGTCTAACTCTCTGATTCGGTGTTTTAATAGGAAATTTAGATTATTTATTCTGCAGCGATTTGTATCTACAAATTCAACAGCTGGACCCCAAAAAGATGCTGAGTTTTCAACCTCTACCATTTCCCATCCCTACCCACAGTAGAAAACTACTAAGAATACAAGAGGTACATTTCAGTAAACAGTAACAAAAGCTGACTTGCATTGAAGTAACATGCACAGTAGACAAAAAATTACAATGGTTTTGGGGATGGCTGCTCTTCCCCAAAAATGGTCCTATCTGGCTGTTCCCTCTATGGCTATGGTTCACCTACGTGTACAGACCTATTGCAAAAATCTCTAGTAACACTGTAGAAGGGCCTCACATCCTTCTTAATACTGCTATCTCCATGCTGAGAAATTCCACAGCAGCCTGTGGACCATACCCTAAGGCATGGAGGCAATGCCAGCGCATCCATATAAGACTGTGCAACCAGAGAAGTAGTTATCCCCCATCCCACAGACAGAGGAAACAAAGGCACGGAACAACAAAGGGATTTGCTCATTCCAATGCAAAAAAGGCAATAGGAGCTGAGATTACCTTCCAAATCGTAACATCCTTCACAAGATGAAGGAAAGGTTTTTGTCCTTATATAAAGGGCTGTTCTTCTTTGCTTTAACAGCAGAACAAGGAAATCCCAACCACATGCTTTTATCTAACTATGCTGTAGGAGATCAAACAGGGCTCCAAACCATGAACATAATAGAAATCTCTTGGGGACTGATCCTGCCCCATCCAAATGGGCTCAGCCTTGCTCCGAGCAGCGCAGAGCAGGTGTGGACACTAAAGAATTGTGTGAAGCACCACAGGATGCCATGGGGCTGGACATTGAAAAATGATGTTGCTTTTGTTGGGAGGAAGTCCAAGTGACTTGGTGACCTTTAACTGCTGGTGTCCTACATTAAGTTATTTCAGTGCAGGGTTTAAATTCATTTGCCTTTCCATTTAATAAAGCCAATCAAATTTGGAAATCTAGCACCAGTTTAAAAATATTCCTTTCTTTGGTCAGCACCTTTATTAAGAGGCAATTAATAGGCAATAATCCTGGGAAGGCTGGCAGCATGAAAGCCAAAACCCCACCACCAAACCTAAACAAAAAGCCTTGCAAAAGCCCTGCGTACTCTCTGACCAGCTTGAAACGTGCATAAAATCAAAGGCAGAAGAAAAAAGGGCCCTGTGCTGGGTACAGCACTTTGAATCTCACTCTTTGAAAAGTTAATGCTTGTGCAGATTTAATGGGGGGAAAAAGGGAAAACGAAGACGGGATAAGCTTTCATTGGCCACCCATCAGAAAAGCCGAGGGAGCAGGAGGGGAAGAGGCATTTCTGTAGTGACCCACCCATGCATCTCATCTTCCCAGCCCAACCTTCACCTTTGCACTGAATTAAACACCATTAGGGGCTTTTCCTTCTCTTTTTTCTATGTTTAGTTTTGATGGAGGTTGGGGCTGTTTTTTTACCTCCCCACTAAATCTTTCTTCTTTCAGCCCTGCAGGTCAGCAGGATGTTGCTGGCTATCTCAACCAAGCAATGGTAATTTCTCACAAGCACTCTGTAATGTGTTTGGCTGCTGGTGTCCAGGCCCTTAGGTGTGTTTTTAAGGTTTCAGTAGATTAGATATCCAGCTTCATAAGCGAAAAAGATCATTAAATGATATGGCAGGGCTGAGCTGGGGATCTAATTTCTCATTCAAGACACGCTTTGTAAATATTTGGGTACCTCCAAGAGATGGGTTTTCTATTTGAAATCCTTAGTGGCTGATCTTAGGTACATATAAACCTAACTCAATTTACAGTCACAGAATCATAGAATAGTTTGGGTTGG